TGGGGAGAAAGTTGAAGCGCAGCAATTTGTTCCAGCTGACACTGACAACTGATGGATTGAAGAATCTGAGCAAAGACTCCCCACTTTGTTTTGGGTTCCTTTTGTGCCAACAGGATGAGAAACTCTCTGGCTATTACCTTACATAGTCTTGGGTGAGTATTTAATCTGTCAACGTTGTAATTCCTTGACCATAAAACCAAAAAAGATTAAAAGTACAGTTGTTAATGGACTAATGTATTCATTATCAGAGTGTACTTTGTAGATAAAACCATTGTAATAACTGTAAAAGAACACAGATATATCTAGTGTATTGCATATAGAACTAACAAGTGTTGGTAATAGGCACATTATAAACAGATGGGCTTGATTATATACTATTTAATTTCTACCAACTTCACAAAAAAACCTGTAGAACTGGTATTTTTTTATGGCTGCAGTGAAAAGATATTGAAAAAAAAGTGTTACTAGATTATCACCTATAAATAAAGCCCATTAAAATTGATTGGTAAAGCCCTGATATGACTGAGACTCTGATCCTTTAATGGTTTTTAAAATGCTTCACACAACACAGTTTATACTTGAGTATACATGCTGCTGTTGCTGGGAAAATAACATATTTATCTCATTGTATCGTCCGTCTGGTTTTAAAGATAATTATCACTGTGACTTCTGTTTGCTGCTTTGGTTTTGGTTGTTTGCTTTATGGAGCACAAGCAAAAACTGCACTTCAGAGTGTCCAGGTTTCGGTTTTATTAAGCACTAACCAGAAGATATGCATCTGTCCTAGTTCTAGTGAACATCATAAACAAAGACCCTTAGTGATTTCAGGTTCTGTCACGTAAGAGTTATTAATCCATATTTAGAACTATTAATCTTGTCTGAGTCAAGAATTTGCTGTGGCTTCCCTAAGAAGAGGCACCAGCAGGTCACAGGTGAGGTCACACCTGAAGCGCCATGTCATGCTGGGCTCCCCAGGACAAAAAAAGAGATGGAGCTACGGGAGAGAGTCCAGCAAAGGGGCCATGAAGGTGATGAAGGGACCAGAGCATCTCTCTTGCGAGGAGGGGCTGAGAGAGCTGGGACGGTTCAGCCTGGAGAAGGGAAGGCACAGGGGGATCTTATAAATTTTACACAAAAACCTGACAGGAGAGTGCACAGAGGATGGAGCCAGGCTCTTCCCAGTGGTTCCCAGTGACAGGACCAGAGGCAATGGGCACAAACTCAGGAAAACAATTCTTCACTGCGAGGGTGACCAAGCGCTGGCAGAGGTTACCCAGCAAGGTGGCGGAGTCTCCATCCCTGGGTTCCTGGGCAACCGGCTCTGGGTGGCCCTGCTTGAGCAAGGGGATTGGGACCAGACGAACCCCAGAGGTCCCCACCACCCCCAACCAGGCTGCGATTCCGTGATGGGAGCGTTTCGCTCCCTT